ACTGTGACCTACTTATGGTTTTTTTAATAGCTTTATTAAAATATCTTCAGTACTAATTGGCTAAGAATCATCAAACTTTGTCAGTTGATGCAACTTGGGTCTTAGGATACTTAGGGTTAGAGGCTTCAAATAGAAGTGATAGGTTGTACAATTTATCAGAAGAGCGATTCAAGGCCCCTGGGCCTCTTGTTTAACAGTAAAGGTCCTGTAGAAGTACATTTTTCTGCTTGGTACAATGTATTAATTAATGCTATGTACGCGGTCACAAGTTTTCAGCGGAAATTTGTCCAAGCGTACTTTATGTAAATATAATGCATACAGCGACAATCTAAGAAATCCGCGTATTATTTTCTACTCGCGGATTAAACAAAAACTTAGATTCCACGTAATTATGACCCCTCGAAAAAAGTACGTCTACAGTACTCTAATCTAAGATAAAAATGCTCATCTGTCTTTTTTATTTTATTTTTAATTGACATACTGATAAGGCAAAAATAAATCACTGAAAATTCTCGAGAATAGGAAAACTATTTTTAGCTCACCTGAGCTGAAGGCTCGAGTGAGCTTTTCCGATCAAAATTTGTCCCTTGTCTCTCGTCGTCGTTGTCGTCGTGGGCGTCAGCGTAAACTTTTCACATTTTATCTTCTTCTCAAGAACCACTGGGCCAATTTCAACCAAACTTGCCACAGAGTATACTTAGGTGAAGGGAATTCAAGTTTGTTCAAATTAAGGGCCAAGCCCTTTTCCGAAGGGAGATAATTATGAATTAGTGAAAAATTAATGGCATTTTTCAAAAATCTTCTTCTCAAGAACCACTGGGCCAGGAAAGATGAAATTCATGTAAAATCATCCTCAGGTAGTGTACATTCAAATTTGTTCAAATCATGGCCCCTGGGGGTAGGGTGGGGCCACAATGGCTGATTAAAGTTTTACATAGGAATATATAGGAAAAATCTTTTAAAATCTTCTTCGCAAGAACTACTGGGCCAGGAAAGATGAAACTTATGTGAAATCATCCTCAGGTAGTGAAGATTCAAGTTTGTTCAAATCATGACCCCTGGGGGTTGAGGGGGAGGCAAAATGGCTGATCATAGTTCTACATAGGACTAGATAGGGAAATCTTTTAAAATCGTCTTTTCAAGTACTTCAAAGCCATGATTAGTGATATTTATGTGGAATCATCCTCAGGTAGTGTAGATTCTAGTTTGTTCAAATCATAACCCCCGGGGATAGGGTGGGCCACAATGGGGGATCCAAGTTTTACATTGAAATATAAAAAAATCTTCTCAAGAATAGCAAATCCATGATAAGTAATACTAGTATTTATATGGAAGCATTTTCGGGTAGTGTAGAATTAAATTTGTTCAAATCATAACCCCCCATGGGTAGGGTGGGGCTACAATGGTGGATCATACACCCCATTCATACGACGAAAATTTGCTTATATGTGCAAATTTACATAATTATGAGTTTACAAATATACACACGTAAGTAAAAGTTAATTTGCTATGCGTTCAGACAAGATTTATGTACTGTAAGTTAATCCTTATATTTTCATATAAAATAGGATGATCCACAGATTCAGAATTGTGAACTTTTATAGAAAAGGTTTTTTTTCTTACTATTTGGGTATAGGACTAACTTTTGAGTGTTCCTCAAAGAAAGAAGGGGGAAATCCAATCCATTTATTTTTTGGTACGGAAAAAGCGAACTTAATAACTTTTAGGAAAAATTTACTCATGAAAAAAGGAAAATTAATTAAAATCATTGTTTAAAATTCAAAATTCTGTGGCCTTGGTCCTAAAGACTATAGAAGAGCCGTTTGGTGTTTTAAAAAAAGATGGCTGTTGCCATATACTGGTTGGCGTCTTCAGCAGAATAAAGTACGACTCGAAAATCTTATTGGTGTTTGGAAATCTACAGTACATCAAGTTTGCAAGGTCATTATGAAGTATCTGCTTGAAAGCATTATTATATTATATGCAATTTCCTGGAAAAGAAAATGGGCAATCGGTTTTTAAAAAAATTTCAAACAAAACAAATATGAATAGGAAATAAACACAAATCCCCTAGAAATTCATGGTGGGATCGGCTGCCAAGATCGAGAATGCTTAAAAATGCTTATTTTCAACAGGGTTGTTGAAATTCCTGTAGCATCAATTTATATGTCAGTAGCTTGCCTTGGTTTAAAAACAAAGAAAGGTAGAAGACAGTCAATATGTAATGGGGCCCGGGCGATTGATTTAATGCCTATTCCTAACACAGCTCCAGAGCATTTCCCATGAAGACTACTTGAATTGTAAGGGGACTACTTAACAAGTTCATCCTGGAGGACATGTTTGCGAGACCACAGTTATATTTTTATAATTTAGAGGCATAAACATAGGTTTGCAAGAAAGGGTGCAAGATGCGCGCATTTTTGCAAATTCAAATTTACCTCAGAGGACACTGGAGATATACTGTGGATCCTTGTTTTCAGAGTTGAAAAGGCCATTTTTGGAAAGAACTATATGCTAGTGCAACCCTGTATATCCTTTAAAGACTTTAAAACATTACCCTTATCAAAACTCAATTTACTTTCAGCTAGTGTTGTATAATCGGAAAAAAATCTGAAACTGATTATCGGTTAATAATCGGAGTCCGATTTTAGTGATTAATTGAATTAATCGGTTTCCATATTTATTTTGAAACATATGTGAAATAAAGGATATATGACTATAAAATGTTTATTTTTTTACTATTCAATGTAACTGACAACTTATTAACATGAAATTTGGCAATTACAATAACAAGGTAACTACTAACTAGTAACTAGTACTAACTACTAGGACCAGCATTTGCAAAGTATGTCAGTGAAGTCGTTCGTTGCTTTAGCACTAGCTGCGTCACTCGAACCGGACGACTCTAATACATCTCCATGTTCCGTTTTAATATGAGCCATGAAGTTGGACGTGTTCCCTGAATAGAAAGAGCAAGGTCATAATATTGTGGAACTTGGAAGGAAGTAAAATTTGAGCTTCCAAGTAAAGATTTTCAGCATTTTCTTTTAATTTTAATGTAAAAAAAATTGCCAACTGGCAGGTTCATAACAAATTGTTTATGATAGTATCTTTAATAGCTTTTGATACATTTTCTAAACATTGGTGTAGAGTCTTTTCTAGCAGGACTGAGTCAGATTTCATCCCTCTTCTCTTTGTAATTTGTGTACATGTGGGTCACTGCTATCAATGGTACTGATCCTCCAGTAATTATCGGACACCAGCAGTTATCGGACACAATATAAATGTATGGGGTTTTTGTTACTCGCTCAATGAAGTGTCGTTTTCACCCGGGGAAAGGGGCATGGTAATGACTCGCAAAATATGAAGAAAGAAATTCACACTGGATCAAGAAATTGGCATCATTACCTAGGATATTGACAGTAGTGTTTGTAAATCAATTTTTAACCTCTCAAATGTCATCTTTTTTCCTGTAAAAACCAGGTGTCCGATAATTACCGGTCCGCTTTTCAAAATTTGAATGAATTTCGGTATGTTTTCTAGTGATCTTTAAACAATTTTTCAAGCAAAAATCATAAAATATTTTAATATATTTGTTTTGCTCTTGAGTTAACCTCTGGCGAAATATAAATTTTAAAATTTAATTGTACAACACTGCTTAGAAATTCTGAAAAACGCAAGATTTCTGTCCGATAATTACTGGAGGACCAGTAACGTGTATAGCGTTTTCCCAAACTTCTTACCAAGGACGACAGAGCGTAAAGTCGATATAATACCTTTATTGGTGTACATTCACCTGCAGAGTTTGCAAATGGCCCTTGACAAGTCTAAGTTTTGTTTCGTCGGCCGACCGGCTGCCTTTCTCTAAAATCCAAAATATTTCCATACCTTCGACTTCGATTTAGTGCCGGGGTAGGGAAGTATTTCTCGCTGGTCATCCTCGTTGTGTGCGACACAGGGCGCCGCCATCTATGCCAATGTACGTAGTGTATTCGACTATTCGTGTCAACAACAGTTCGTTCTTTGTAAACTTGTATGTTTACGGGTTTTACCAATTAATCGATCTCAAATTTCGATCCGATTAATCGAAATCGGTTGGGTTTCAGCGATAGATTCGGCGATGTCGGCGATAATCGAAACTCCACTACTTTCAGCTATCCTTGAAGTACAGCAAAGATGACCATAAAATATGCAGTTTGTTATGTTTTGCTACCTGGCCGCCATGCTAACAGACTGATATTACACACACTACAATGCATAAACAACCGAAACAACACTCAAAATGGAGATTTATGCAATAAAAAAAACAAAATACATAAGTAAATTTGCTGCGTGTTCATACGACAAAATTTACACATATGAACTAATAATTCTCTACAACATGTGTGCAAAAGTTAATTTGCACCTAGTCCTGACCAGGTGTAAATTTACTCAACTGTGCAGAATTTACATGTGAGCAAATCAGTTCATATGACAAAAATTGCACATGTGAGTAAATTTACATGATATGAGTAAAATATACTGAGGTATGCAAATCATGTCGTATGAATGGGGTAATAGTTTTACATAGAGAAATAAAGGAAAAAATCCCAAGAACAGAAAAGCTATGTTTAGTCATATTGACATGTATGCATCCTCATGTATTGAAGATTTAAATTTATTCAAATCATGGCCCTTTGGGGTAGGGAGGGAAACAATGGGGAATCAAATTCAAATTATTATGAAGTTATATATAGGAAGAAAATGTTTTTTAAAAAATCTTTTTATCAAGAACAGCACAGTCATATACTGTATTAATATGAAGGCAATCTTTAGTGGTATCAAAATTCAAGTCCCCCACCTCCCTTTAGTGAACTTTTCAGTTCTGATCTGATTTTTGCTTATTCCTAGCCGATTTACGCAGGTGAGCGATGTGGCCCCCGTGCCTCTTGTTATGATTGTTTATAATCATTTGTTTGACTCCTTCACAGCTTTGTAATATTAGTGTTTTGTCATTATAGTAGGAATACCAATGCAGATAATCCTAAGGGGAGACAAATCAGTGACGAATTTCATTGAGAATTTAAAGAAAGGGAAGACAACCATGTACCACGCCTCTGGGATGATAATAGGGTGTGCCGGTAGTGGGAAAACAACACTGTTAGAGAGACTGAAGGGTATTGACTTGGAGAAAATAAAGAAAAATATCAGGTCAACTAGAGGAGTCGATATCCACACAGATTTGTTTGATGTGACAGAGAGCATCCAAGGTATTTTAGCCTACCTGAGTTGAAGGCTCAAATGAGCTTTTCTGATCACATTTTGTCCATCGTCCGTCTATCTGTCCATCCATCTGTAAACTTTTATCATTTTCGACTTCTCCTCAAGAGCGACTCGGCCAATTTTAACCAAACTTGGTACAAAGCATCTTTGGATGAAGAGGAATTTCAATTATTAAAATGACGGGCCAAGTCCCCTCACAAAGGGATAATATAATCAAGAAAACACAAAAATAGGGTGGGGTCATTAAAAAATCTTCACAAGAACCACAGGGCAAGAAAAGCTGGAACGTATGTGGAAGCACCACCTCCGCCCTCTGCCCTCTGCCCTTACTTGTCTGCTTAGAAAGTAGGGTGTGTAAGAGCGTTGAGGTTGTACTCCTATCCATCCTACCATCTGTCCGTTTATTATGTTTTGGGGTATTACTCATATTACTCTTATAACTCTTCATTACCATTAACCACTGAATAAAATTGTTACTACTTAATAAAATGCATGAAATTTTCACAGAATCTTTGTTAAATAGAGAAATTTAAAATTTTCTATTTTACTCTCTGTATGGACACGTTTCTGGTTTCCTAATGCAAAATATAGACACTACCGTTATATTGGTGGTACCCATCTCGTATTTGCAACTCAACCTGTACAACTTAATAAAGTTAAATGACACTTTCACATAATATTTACTACATACTGTCATTCCGTACTGCATTCTTGATGTTAAGATTGGACAGATATTTGGTTTTTCAATAGTAAAACAAAGACTTCACCATCATACTCATATGGAAGCTGCCTGGGGATATCATTTTGTGAGCTCGATACTCTCAGTACCTTGAGATTTTATTTCGTGACTTGCGGATTTATATAACGTAGAATAAAAGTCTATTTTCATAAAGTACAGGGACAACAAAGGGAGACAGTGTTAAATTTGTATTCATTTTTATTTACAGCAAATTCTTCACTCCAACAGCAACACTTTAAACTTCGACTTGATAAAAAAGATATGAATCAGAGTGTTCCTGAATCTCATTCAGAAAATGCAGCCGATGATGAGGAAACGCAGGAAAAGATGAAACCAGTTGAAGAAGAGGGCAGTACGACTGAAGCATCAAGCAGTGGACGGATATCACATGATGATATCGACATTAACCCTACCTCATCCCATGAACCACAGGGGCCCACATCACCAGAAAAAGTAGCAGAAGTTATGACGGAGAGAAAAGATATTCGTCATAGTCCAGATATTTCTGGAAATTTACAGATAGGTGCAGAAGATATTTCAGAAGATCCTGATAAAAAAATAACCATGACTGACTTTGCAGGACAGTGTTCATATTATGCCTCACACCAGATTTTTTTGAGTCCGCGGGCGTTTTTCATTCTGGTGCTGAATATGGAGAAGAAGTTTGATGATAAGGTTGGAGAAGAAGTGTGTTGTCAGGAAGGCTCCGTTTATGGGGGATGGACACACAGAGGTAATATTCAATTATTACACTATGGCCCCGAAAATCGTTTTTTCAAGCACCACCGCATTAGATGAAATGGTATGCATTGATAAATGTTATTGACATATTAAAAAGGAAATAATTAAATTTTCCATATTTTCAGAACCTATCTGTCCCATTGAATTTTGAAACTTTTATTGTAAATGAGAATTATTTTTTATTTTGTTTGTCTTTCTGTGCAGCTTTGCGAAGGCAATAAGTTTGTTTCATCTATGCACCGCCTTGTACATGGCTCTGACATATAGAGTTTCTCATTTCATCATTTCCTGCAATCTATCTTAAAGAAAACTCTTACAACTGAATGTGTCTTCGTTTTTCAGATTATCTAGAATTCTGGATGAAGTCCATTCATCAATATGGCAGTGATAAGGCTCCCGTCATCCTGGTTGGTACACATAGTGAGAACAAAACAGAAAAGGTATCATTTTTCAAAACTGTTATTCATTGTTTACAAAAATATTTTACTTTGTCATTGTTTTTCTGATCTGTAAATATTTATTATAATATTTAGAGACATACATGTGTTTCGTAAACTCTGTTGGAACAAAACATTTACAATCAATGTATGATTATGAACATTATTATTTAACTATGACTAATTTGTTAGCATAAGATAAAATAAGGAATTTGTTTTCGTTAGGAGAAAGAATTGTTTTTCCGAGAAGTTTGGAAGACTCTTGACATGAAGAAGAAGTCTCTGCAAAAACATATTGATGTGAAACGTCGATTTGCGGTTGGATTCCATGACAATGAAAGCATTGAAAAACTTAAGCTGTCCATTGCTAATGTCGTGTGCAAGCTGGATCACTGGGGTGAAGAGCTTCCACAGTCATGGGCTATGTTTGAAACATTCTTTCAGGAAAAGAAAATTCGCAAGATTTTGAGTAGGAGTGAACTTCAGTCTTTCAATGAAACACTGCCAGAGGGAATAAAGCTCTGTACTATTGAAGATATAGGTGCCATGCTGCAGTTCTTCCATGACATCAGAGAACTTATACACTTCAATCAACAATTCCTCAATGAAGCTATTATTCTCGATGTTCAATGGTTTGCAGATGCATTTAAAAATGTCATTACAGATAAAAACCATGCAAAAGAAGATTTATTTGAATTTGCATCAGAATGGGACAAATTCAATGAAACTGGGGAGTTAGATGAAACACTGCTTTGTGCTATATGGAGAATGAACAACAATGGTTACATCGAACATAAAGAAAACATCATGGTGTACATGGAAAAGCTAGGACTCATATCTAAAATGAGAGAAAAAATATGGTATGTCCCCTGTGTGAACAAGATGCAATTTCCAGCAGACTGCTTTACATCATACCCTGCCTCCTCCATCATTTGCTACACGTTTGATGTTCTTCCTGTGGAAATTTTCCATCGCCTTGTAGCTACATGCATGCAGATTCCTTGGGAGATTTTTACAGATGAAGAAAGAGGATGCATTTACCAAACTGCCGCTATTTTCATGTTTCATGACCAGCAACATAACATCATGCTTGGAATGACTCAAACAGAAATTCAGGTACAGGTGTTTGTTGTGGAGGGAGAAGTTGATGTTTTAACCTGTCACCAGATTAGAGAAAACATTGAGCGTATATTACACAACCTTATGAACACATTCCAAAAAGACTCGGATTTCCAGATTGCATTCAAATGCAAATCTACTGGGTTTTGTGACAGCAGAGAAAGTGCTGCCATAAGTGAATCTAAGTTTATCAAAGAAACTTTTCTGTGTCCATCCTGTCCGGCGAAAAAAAAGCACCGTATCATCACAGAAGATATCATAAAATATTGGACAAAGGTAACTCTTCTATCATTTTAATTGCTAAATTTAACTTGAAATTTGTATTAAAAAAACTGTATCTAAAGGTTTGCAGCTGTGAATGAATACCAGATGATGTGTTATTAAATAGTAAAAGTACTGACAAAAAAAGAATCCATAGGCGTATGCAATAAGGATATGGAAATAACGAACAGTATTCAATCTCAACGTCCATTAAACAAATATACAAAATAAGAGCAGAGCAAACACGGACCTCCGAAACATCAGAGGTGGGATCAGGTGCCATGGAGGAGTGAGCATCCCCTGCTGACCGGTTTTACCTAGTTTTAAATTTTTAATTAGATGTCTACCCTAAATTGAATCCAGTTGCTTCTAGTAGAGACAATTGTATCAGTCCCCGTGTGAAATGTTGTATTTTCAGCCACAGAATAATTAGGGCCCCGCTCGGCGGGCGCCCTATAGTGATCAGTCTGTCCGTCTGTCCGTTCAGCTGTCCGTCCGTCAGTCCGTCCGAGATATCTTGTCCGGAGCATATCTTCTCTCCCTTTGGCCCAATATGGCTCATACTTCACCCAAAGAGTGCCCTTAGGTAACCGGTGTGCAGTGACCTTGAAACATGTTTCTAGGTCAAAGGTCAAGGTCATAGCAGACTTGTATGAAAAATCATTGTCTGGAGCATATTTTCTCTCTCCTTCGCCAAATCTGGTTCATACTTCACCAACAGAGTGCCCTTGGGTAACCATGTTTCTAGGTCAAAGGTCAAGGTCAAAGCAGACTTGCATGAAAAATCCTTGTCCAGAGCATATCTTCCCTCTCCTTGGCCCAATCTGGCTCATACTTCACACACAGAGTGCTTTTGGGTAACAAGTGTGCAGTGACCTTGAACCATGTTTTTGGTTCAAAGGTCAAGGTCATAGCAGACTTGTGTGAAAAATCCTTGTCCGGAGCATATCTTCCCTCTCCTGGCCCAATCTGCCTCATACTTCACCCACACAGTGCCTTTGGGTAACCGGTATGCAGTGACCTTGAACCATATTTCTGGTTCAAAGGTCAAGGTCATAGCAGACTTGTGTGAAAAGTCCTGGTCCGGAGCATATCTTTTCTCTCCTTGGCCCAATCTGGCTCATACTTCACCCACACAGTGCCTTTGGGTAACCGGTGTGCAGTGACCTTGAACCATGTTTCTAGATCAAAGGTCAAGGTCAAAGAAGACTTGTATGAAAAATCTTTGTTTGGAGCATATTTTCTCTCTCCTTGGCCCAATCTGGCTCATATTTCACTCACAGAGTACCACTGGTCAATGGATGTGCAGTGACTTTCATTGGTCAAATTTCTAGGTCATGGTCTAATTAGCCTCTATGTTTAAAATCTTTATTTGGTGCATAATTTTTCCCCTTAATTCCAGTAAATTTATATAACTGAGGATACAAGATAACTTAGATATAAACATATATATATATATATATATATATATATATATATATATATATATATATATATATATATATATATATATATATCTGTAAAATCGCAGTATCTGTGAGGTCGTACTAAATTACTTTCACTGTAGTACACAAAAGTTCCTCTTCAAAATAAACCTTTCAAACTTAAAGCAATATGAGCTGTATCTTTGAGAATTTTATTTTTATGGTAAAATGTGCTATTATGATCAAGTTTTATGTAATTTAAACTTTTATGATCAATAAGCCCAAAAAAGTTTTAAAATGTTTCAGAAGAAATATTTCTGTTCAGCCGAATATACAGTTTTATATAAGAAATCATTATTATACAGGACAACAATAATTCAATTTTGCTTCAATCTCAGCTAATAAAAAAAAAACAACAGAAGTTTATAAATAATTTATCTTTCTGTCATTAAATTAGTTGATTACAAATTTTCAATAAAATTTTCCGATGTCCAACATGCAGCTCACATTGTTTTAACCTTACATTTTCATGTTCATTGTTGAACGCGGGGCCCTTCGAGATGGTCACCATCTCAATGATATCTAGTTAAATTTTCTTTTATTTTGTTGCAGATTAATTTTATAGCAATTATGATTTCCACAAAACTACAAGGCCTAGGCCTATATTGACAAACTTGCAAGGATGAATTATTTTAGGAATAATACGGCCAGACCTAATTTTGAAGCATATTGTAATTTTTTTTTTATTGATGAGTGGTCAATTTACAGTTTTTGAAGCAGGACCATTCTTAACTAACTAGTTTATGCCCTATGTTGACAATTCGTGCATGGATGATGCATCTTAAGCTGCACACCACTGGACTTGCTTCAGATTGCTTCAAATTCTTGATTTGAGTGTAAAATTAACAACAGATTGAAGTCTAAAAACCAAAGATTGACCAAACTTGTGGGATAATACATCTTAGTATGTACACTAGAGAATTTGCTTCAGATGCTGAATTTTACCGATCTATCCGATTCTAGTATCTGTTTTATTCTAAAGTACATGTAACATCATGAAGTGTGTAGTAACTCCAGGCATTTTCGGAACTAAATGTTTGCATTTGGCATGCAATTCAGTTTCCTTTGGATTCTAGATCTGACCTCTTTGTTCATTACAAGTGAACAGCTTTATGGTTTTTCGAGCAGCTTCAATCTGCTGCAATTCCCAGTGTCTGTTAGCATCTAGGGATGTATGCTATCAAATTAAACTTGCTTCGGGTGCTTAATCCACATTTCAAAAATGATTTAAGTAAACAAAATTTGTCATTCCCTTCCTAGACAAAAAGAACATTAATGGTGCATCTAAAGATGCATATTAATAGATTCGTAGTTAGTTTGGGACTTAGTTGTATTAAAAACGTATCACTTGTTAAGATAAGCTCTGTAGTGTTTGACAATATATAAATATCCAGACATATTGAACTGAAAACACTCTGTGAAATGATGTACCTCCCTCGGTCTGTGCTGCGAGATTTTTTAATGGTTTTCCATGATTCAATACAAAATATTTGAAATCTTCATTTAATCATTATTTATCCGTGGTACATACATCCAGGCCTTTAAATAGTCCCAATATGTTCACATTAAAGGTTTCTAAGAAGGAATCCAAGCTATCTAAAGTTGCAAGTGGATCTGAAGGTTTTTCAACGTCAGAGAATGGTGATAGTGCTGCATTAATCAGACCGTCTGTCAGCGGTATCTCAAATTTGACAAACTTTATTAAATATTAAATTTAATTAAATGCTCAATCATAGTAGCGCTTTGGTTTAAGAACACGGTGAGATTTATACTTATAATATCTTTGGAAAGTATTCATGGATTTTTGTGGATGAAAAATAATAATAAAAAAAGAACTTTGTTTTAACTTGTTGTTTCTTAGCAGATAACTCCAGTATAAATTACGAGAGGATCATGAAGTTATTAAAAGTTGGAATTGTTGCTGTGCGATTCTGTTTTGATAAATATTTTCCTCAAGATGAATTAGAGAAAATGCTGAAAGATAATGAAACCGAAATGAGAACAGGAAAGTTTCGATTTCAGCCATCTCAACTACAGCTTTTGTTTCCTATAAAAGGTACGTTATATAATTTTCTCTAGTTTGTTTTTCATGATACAAAGCTTTGAAACAAATAAAAAGATAAGAAAAATCTTTGTTTTCAACAAATTGATATAGATATGCCTTTTCTATTGTGCACGGTTTATTTACAAAGCAGTAAGTAATGAGTGGACCTGCACCAAGTTAATGATTAGTTAAAAGAGTTTTGTAGGTGTTAGCTGTTGGGGCATCTCTGATCAAACACGTCCTAATCTATATCTCCTTAGAATTGGGCAGAAAGAAATAAAGATCTGCTTTCTTTGTCTTAGTTTGTCTGTCAAAATAGATTGTTACTGGAACCAGCCTTCTCTTAAAGGAAATTAATATAAAGGTATTAAGAGTAATATGATTTTGTATTAAGAAATATGTTTTTTTCCCAACAATCGTCAGACCATGTTCTCCTTATAAGTATTGATAAGTATATATGTATTCGATTCAATATTCTAAAACCTAAAAAGTTGATCTAAATCGTTGCATGAATACAAATAATCTCACCGTACATTGTTCATAATCCGCCATTTTTAACAGACAAATTTTGTATTAGTGAATTAATGACATTGCACATACAGGTACCTTATTTTTATAGTCCAATAATATCGCTTCAATTTGAAACCTACCACAATGTTGTCGACGTCATAGTTTTGTTTTCATAAAGTGTTAAATTAATAAAGTAAGGAGACATCGAAAGGTGCTTCTGCGGAAATCCTGTATACACATCGAGAAACGCTAGCTCACTTATCATGGGTGGGCGTCGAAAGGCACTAAAACGGGGAAATGAGTTAAATATCCTAGGTCCTAAATGGTAAAGAAAAATCAAACTTTGTCAGTTGATGCATCTTGGTTTTCAAAGGATGTGCGTTGAAAAGTAGGTTTCTGTGACATAATTTGAACATTTATTGCAATATTTAAATATTTCAGAAACTTATTGGCAAGAAATCACCAATCATCTTCAGTTAATGCATCTTGTGATCTCTGAATGTGTCAACTAAATTGTTTTTCAATCGACCTAATTTTGGAATTGCTTGGCATTCTCGAAGTATACTCTTCAAAAAAAGAAACGCATCATAGAATTTTAGTGACACATTGAACATAAATATTACTTAGTAAAATGATGCATTGATAAAACAAAAATGTGGTAAGCAACAGGAATACTATCTAAATGTTATAATTACTCAACAATTTTAAAATCATAGTCAGTTTAAGACCATTAAAGATCAATATCTGGTATGCCCCCCGCAGACATAAATGATAGCCACAAACGACTCTAATGGAAGCAAATATGTGTAGTAAAAACTGTATAGAAATACTCTCCCACTCCAAATGTAGAAGTTCAGTCAGCTGTTGCAGAGTCTGGAGATGCAATTGTCTTTGGCAAATCATGTCAATCCATTTTGTCCAATGCTGCTTTATTTGGATAAAATCTAGCGATTAAAATGACTGTGACTGAAACAGGTTGTTGTTTCTTTGCAAGAATAGGTATGTCAAACGAGCCATATATATGTGGCTGTGTATTGTGAGATTGCAATACGGCTCTAGGATGCTGCAAAATTGAATGGGTATGTGTAGGTAGAACATGGTTAGAGTTTCTTTTTCCATCAAAGTCCGTTGAATTCGAACCAAATCATTCTTACTTTCTTATAATACCATTTTCCATATCATAACACTACCACCACCAACTTTTTTAACGTCCTGGAGGCAGTTATCTATCTAACCTTCATTAACAAGCAAGAGCACTCTGAAACTTATAAGAGGCTTTCGGATTAACATTTTGGACTAGTAGGTTAACCAAAATATTCAACAGTGATGCTGTGGTCATACTCAATTCATATGAGATCTTTGAAGTCGATATTTGGGGTGTTGTGGGGTAGTAACAATGGCATGAGTAATCCTCTTGCAATAATTCGTAGTCAACTGAAACGGCCTTGTTAGATGATCTGTGCAGTTCAGGGATAGATAATGATTTAGATGACATCCTTGCATTTCATTTATGCAATTTCCGTAATCCTCGGAAGTGATGCTGTGCTGCTGATGTCACAGGTTGTCTTCCATATTTTTTGCGAACATTGGGTATTCGATGTTAATGGTTTATGTTTTATAGGTTAGATATGGTCAGTGTGTAACATAAAAACCTCCTGCAGTTGTAGATTGCTGTGCCCCTGCTTCCAGTCGTCAATTTTCTTTTTTGTGCCACGTAACATTCAGATGTAGCAATTTTAGGAAGCGTCATTTTTCAGATAAAACCAGATTCAAAATATCGAGAACCCCCGCTTTTGATAGCCCCTTTGTACCCGAAGGAATTGCATCGGAATTCAACAAATGAAAATTGAGATCAAAATTTTGGGGGAAATTTTGCAAAATCAGGTCTTTTTGTCTGTGAGACTTGTAGAATAGCTGTAAAGTTAACAATTGCATTAAAAAATCATTCATTTCACTCGAATACATCGTATCCGTACAAAAATAAAAGGTATGTCAAAACTATCTTAAATTTTCAGGACATTGTTCCTACTATGCGTTTCTTTTTTTGAAGAGTATATCTCAAATAAAAAAAAGTCTTACATGTATGAAAATTCACCAATCTTTCTGAATTGAGGTACATTGAGGTTTAGGAGTATGTTATCCAAAAAGGTTTTGAGTCTTATAATACATGTATCGTTGTTATATCTGAATATTTTAGAGACTAAGAAGGCTTCGAAGCATCACTTTTTTTTCAGCTGATTCTATTTTGGTTCACAGAGTATTTTAATTAAATGTAGGTCATAAAAACCTACTTAGAAATTTCAAGGTGCTATCTTAATATAAAGGATACAGACAATACATAAAAGTGATACGTTGGAATTTTTTTCAGAAGAGATGTTCAAGGCCCTTTGGCCTCTTGTTTATGAATTTGAAGATAAAAAAGTATTTTTAAAAAAAGAAGAAAAAATACACGTAGTTTAATAAGTTTAGTGTTGTAGATATTGTTAAAGTTAAAGAATTTTTTAAGGTGGATCCAACACTGCTGTTTCATCTTTATCAATGGATATTACCATCATGTATAAACTGTTGAGGAACTACTCAGATATTGCTCCTCCTGGGAATGGATGGGGAAAGGAACCCAAAGTACAGCACATAACGGAGAGTGACGACATAGAGAGGATTCGGTTATATAGAAACACGTATTCTCATGACGCTGGGGGTCCTTGTGACATGAAGGGTGATGTTTTCAACGTAATCTGGACTGACCTCTCCCAGGTGAAATATCTGCATATCTCTAGTAAAAATAAGATTATTTTACAAACTGCAGGGAAGTAGTGAAATTTTAGAATTTTTTGTTTGGAGTATTCCATTAAAAACTTTGAGATTATTTTTTATATTTGTCATTTTCTTACAAAATACAAAAATGCAACAGTTTTGTTCTGACATTCATAAATATCTTATCCTAAATTTGAATAAGGCTACTTAGAGATGAATTCCTCATTCCCACATATATTATAATCAAAAGGTGAAGGGTGTATGTCTAATGCCCCTTGACACTTCGTGTCATAGTAAACTTTTTCTTATGTATGAATAGTATTTTTGGCAAAGGTATCCCTATAATAGGACTACACCTTGTTAATAAACGTAAAAAATCCTTATTTTCCTTTTTTAATCATATTATCCATTGTGGATAAGATGGAAGAAATTAAGACGCATGTCTCAGGTTGAGAAAAAAATACAAGAAGTGAAAGACTGCAGCCGAGCATTTAACAAAAAATATCATTTTGGCTAAAAGATTTATGACACTCAAGGTCCAGTAAACCCAGGAACCTCTTATTCACCATCTTCCCATTTTAATTATAGGTTTTCGTTTACTTAGCAAATTTGTAGTCTTATTAGAGAAAAATACATGAAAAATGCAGGGAATTTCCAGGCTTTGTTTAATATTAGAATCAAACTTAACATTTCTTTTCAAGACATACTATATTCTGTTACATTTCAGTAGAACTTCTTGGCAAACTATCAGAAATGTTTTATTTCACATGTTTATTCCCTTTATTTCAGGCAATACTGAGACTGAGTGGTGGAGTTTTAAGAAGAAGGATCGATGAAATACTTACATAACTATGAGATATGTCAACAATAATTTATGGCATTAAAAAAACATTGCCATTAATTTGGGCAAAGACCGGACAACACCAATTTAAATTTTCATATACATACATTGTATAAAAACACTGACGTCTAGTACTGAGGAAAAGAAGGTGTTCAAGTTGATTCAATATTTAATTCTTATATAAATCGATTTTATAAACTCTCTTTTTATCTCTATTGAGTCAAAGGTTATGGCGATCTCTGAAGTATGTTTAAATATGGATCATAGGTGTGTGTCAGCCAAAAAAAAAATAGAAAATAGAATAAAAATCAAAGTACTGAAAGTACTCATGGGAGTTGAACATTGTTATCTGAAAGATCTTACGGGAAGTATAGGAACAGTTTCATGCTAGAACTGATTTGTTAGAGATACAACACGAAACATTAAAAATAATTTCTATTGCATTTTAATAGCCAAGATCATGGGACTGCTTTTAAAGTAGCTGTCCGAAAAAAGATTTTGACAGACTAGAGCTACAGTGCCATCCATTGAAAAAAAAACTGTATATTCATTGCGCACGAACAATTAAGTTTAGTTCTAGATTTATGCAAACCACCCCCACCAAAAAAAATTCCAAACTCGAAAATACTATTTTGTGGGTAGGTTTCAAACTTCTTTCAGTACCATTTCTTACTCAAACTCAAACACTACCCTTATATTTCTGAAGCATTTGAATCCAAACGCCCCCTACTCTCTTTAGAATGTGTACAAGATATTTGGTCCCAAGAAACACTCTTTATATTCGATGTTACCATCACCAGACACTAGATTGTCAATTTTCTTCCTCTGTTTAAAATAAGTATTTGCTATTCTCTTTTGGGTATGAATGTTTCTTTTCGGACATAATAATTAATTTTTATAGAACTCCGTGCTTATCAGTTTTATCAAATGTATCTATCTTTATTACTTAATCATCAAGTTTTGTTATTCCCTAATTTTAAATTTCATTTCAAGCAATTTCTTTAGAGAAGTAAGTATCTGAACACTTTACATTTTGTTTGTTTTGCGTTCGATAATTTTTCAATTATATTGAAACACTACCACTTGTCGACGGAGCTAGCTACATGTAAGTCTACAAATTTTTACCTATACACGGCACTCAAATCCATTAAGTAGAGAGGGATCGTTTTGTGCAAGCATATGTCATATTGCGACATGGGATTTCGGTTTATATGGTCTCATCAAAAGAGTTTATCTCCACATGCATCCCACAGGATTCGAACCTGTGACGTAAGGATCAATTAACACATTACTTTGAATCTCTAGAGCAAACTCTTTTAACAACTGCGCCACGCGAGTGACACTTAAAGTTTGTGCTTTTGATTTGATTCAAATGTAATTAAAAATCAGACATAGCTTAACGAGCCATTACAAAAAAAACCCCAGCTGTAATCATGACGTACGATCTTTCTCACAGATCGATCATTGGGATTATTATACCATTGTGTCCGTGCATACGCATGTATTCATTAAATTTAACTGTTTTAATTATATAATAAAATCAAATGATACATTTTATAAGGAAATACTGCAATGCAAGTACATACACATTTTTCAAGTTCAGATTTGGTGTTGTACACGAGACCAACTGAATGCTGATAAACTCATGAAATAAAGGATGTAAAATTAATGTCATTTAAAATTGTGAGATCGAATATCAACAAACTTTAATGCTATTATTTTTTCCCTTTACCAACGTAAAAAATGAGTTGCATGTATCTGGTCTGACAAAAAATTTCCAGTCTAACAGATCATTTTACTTGTCAGAGCAAATAAATGTCTAACAGTGACATTTTCCATAGTATTTTTTTTAAAGTAACGTTGTTCTGTCTCTTTATTGCTGAAACAGATTGAAAGAAGTTCGGTTAAACCTTAGCGTTCCTTTGACCTTACATCTTTGTTTACATCTCTATATTTAGACAATCGCGTCATTGTCAAACCAGTTAGACCAGTTGTTGCTCCTTTGATGACCTCGCACTTTTTGTAATGGAGCGTAGTGGAGTCAGCCGAGGATTGTCGAATGATAAATGAAGGGATTTTTTTTTTCATACTGAAATCAAAATTTACGTGTCATTTCTCAAGAGAGTTGACAAAAATATGCTATTCAAATTAAGTTAAATAAAATCCTTTTTTATTTGCTTTCACATCATTTATGAAAATTAGATTAATTCAGAAAAATGAGATGGACTATTTTTATTGCGGAAGTTTCTTCGAGTTTATATAGACTGGTGCGAGTTTGTATTGAATATCACAGGGGAGTAAATTGGGCGACACAGAAACACCACGACAGCCGCTATATAATTCATTGTAAAATTACTGCGCTAGAAATCGCGTGACAACCTAGGGAGTCTGAACATAGTTCAACTCCCAAAAAAATGGATCACCGAAAATTTCTTCTTGAATTTTAAGGATAGGATAACAGGTTTAGAATTATCAAATCGTCAGTTGTTGAATCTTTGGTTTCTGGAATGTCAACGTCAAGTAGATCACTGTGACCAATGGCTACTTTTGGAAGGTCACAGCTTTACTGAGTGTTTCAAATGAAAGCAAGTTTAGCATCATTAAACTGTGTCAGTTGTTGCATATTGGACTCCTGGAGTATGTCAATCACACATACGGCCACACTGACCTACTTTTGGCATCACGTGCACAAGGATATATCCGGAAGTTTTCAATAACAAATTAAGAATGATCCGACTTTTTCAGTTGTTGTATCTTGGGTTCCTGGAGTATGGCAAATAAGACATTGTGACGTACTTCTGAATCTTCAAGTTTTTATCTGGAAATTTCCAATAATAACAGGTTAAGAATCATCAAAGTTTGTCAGTTAGTGCATTGTTACAACGCAAAATGTAATAACGCCAAATGTAACGAACAGTGATTATTGCATTTTGCGTTATTACATTTTGCGTCCAAATCAACGCAGAATGTAATAACGCAAAATGTTAAGCAAACTTTTAAGGATTTTTTACATTTTGCGTTATTTTTTTGTGTTGAAATCAATGCAGAATGTAATACTGCAAAATGTAATAAAATGATTTTGGATTAATACATTTTGCGTCGAGATAAATGCAAAATGTAACAACTCAAAATGTTATAAACTGCACTTGATTACATTTTGCGTTGTTACTACAGATTTGTGCATGAGGTTTAGTGATAAAAACAGTATTCAAGCTCAATATATCATAAAACTAAACATATCAGGTATAAAACAAACACGCCCATCAAAAACATCAGGGATTGGATGAGGTGTCATTGAGTAGTAAGCGTCCCCTGCCGATCAGACACACCCACTGTGTGCTCCTTGTCATGATCGAGAAAAACGGGAAAAAACGGTAAAATCTTTAGAAAATTCAGTTTGTAAACAATAGACTAGCCATAACGATTGAAAGTTCAGTCAACATTTGACTTTATGATAGATTTCATTTGACTATTGATATTCTTGTTGTATGGTTGGCTCTTGGCGTATATAAGCCAAGAAACGTCAAGGTGACCTGATTTTTATGGCCATATCAAACATTAGTGTTAATGACCAACTTTTTTATTTGATACATTTCAGGTCCTAAGAATGTGCAATCAAAAAACAAACATGTCACTATGACCTAATTTTAGAAACAGTCGGGAAACTTTTTCTGAAACTTATTTGACTTAGAAAAATTAAACTTTTCTCTGATGATTTGTCTTGAGCCTTATAAGTGTATTAGCTAAATAGTAGATCACTATGACTTTCTCTTTCTCCTAATTTTAAGGCATATTTAAAAAATTTTCA